TCCTGAAAGGTATAATGCATACATGTTAACATTATAGCAACATATGCTGTAAAAGGATAACAGAGCTTAACTGGATTTTAAAAGGTGAGTTATTTGCAAATCTTTATGTTCCACTTTAGCTTTCCCCCTAAAAGATTAGAATGCTAAATCCAGTGTTTCAAATGAAAAGACATTCTACTAATTACTGCTCCACCAAGATGTAGCTAATGTTTTAAATTCAGTGCTACTCTATATTCTAACTGTAGCATCATGTCTATCATTAATTCAGGTGGCATGATGCTAAAACTCTGAAATATTTACTATGCAACCTTAATTACTATGTCACCTCTACATGCTGACCCAGAAAATGTAATGTGATTTTCGTGACAAATTCTAGTAATTGTCAGACACTGCGAACTCTAATTATGCAAGATAGCTTTTAAAAATAATTTCATTTTCCATAAATCATTCTCTTATTTAGAAAACATAAGTTATTTTATCAAAATATATTGCAATATAATCTTGTGATACAACTTGGAGGGGCATTTGGGATCTAGACCCCCCATATTATAGGAAAGTATACTACCAACAAAGAATTAGAAGGAAACAAATCTTTTGAATAAGTCTTACAATTGCATTCATTCCATGCCCCCCAAATCAGTCAACAGAGATTCAAGACTTGATTGTAGAAGCCCCAGTGCAATTACTCAGAGTTTTCTTCAGGGAACACTGTTAAGGTTTGTGTCTGGATGTCCCCCCAAAGCCTCATGCAGTCATGGGGCAGGCTTCTAGAGTTTACGATTGGTTCTTGAGTGTGAGTTCTACACCTGCTCTGGGGCGGGTAGTTTGCATACAATGTAAGAGGGAAAGAGGCTGCTTGCTGCCACTCCTCCCTTTTTGCTCTTGTTGCTTTTGCTGTTTTCTGCTGCCATGAACTGTTGTCCTCTGCCATGTGCCACTGCCTTGGAGCCAGCTGATTATAGACTGAAACCTTCACAAAATGCAAGTAAAACAAAACCTTTCAGTCTTTAATTTTCGGTGTCAGGTATTTTGTCCCCACAATGAGAGAAAAGTAACCAAGACAAACACCAAAAAAGAGCTATCGTTTCTTTTTTAGAATCTATAGATAAGAGGTCTTACATAGTTCCATAGATAGTATAGCTGCTGCTCTATGGTGATGCTAGTGATCTGTCCAAAGAAAACCACGTAATACTGTCTTATGCTTTTATTCATAAAATAATAATGATGCAGTTATAATTTAAAGGTAAGATTTTTTTAGATTAATTAAACTACTTTTAACAGGTTCATTGTTCCTAGGATATTAGTGAACTAATGAGGCAGGTATGAACACAATATCAAATTGGAAGAGTGGGGAATTTCTCTTTCTCCATATCTTTGTATTTTATGTGAAGGTCTCTGTATAATTACCTTAAGCATGATCTAAAATATTCATTTTATTTCTTTTTATGACTTATTAGAAGTTGGAAGAGAGCTTCAGTTATTTTTTATTTTCTTTTCATATTACATCAGTAGATATACAATAACCTCCCCAAACTGGAAAAGTCATTGCATAAACTAAGAAGACAAAAACTTTTCTCATTCTAATTTAATTAAAGAGTATGTAGTCTACTGAAATATGTTCTATTTTTACCCTATAGATGGATATTATTATAAAAAGTGTTTTGCTATTTTTACATTTTGCAGGAATGCCACCTTTAAAGGAGTATGGCTACAAAGTCTGTGGTGCATAGTGTAAATAAAAATGTTCAAACACATGTCACAGAAAAAAAGCAGCTGCACTTAGGAATTTGCAGAAAGCATTTCTGTTTAAAATCATTAGGAAAAGAAAAGATATATCATATTTTACGGTGATGTAATGGACTATATGTGGGGCTTGCAGTTTAAAATTTAAAAGCAGTGTTTATTGATTACAATAACTGTACTTTCATTTAGGACACTTTAATTACAAGTTTCAGGAAAATACTATGATGTTCAATGTTAAAGCTTTGCAGTTAAATCATAAGTTTTATTCATATTTCAAAACAGCTGCCGGGCAGTGTAGCTTCTGCCTGTAATCCGCCTGGCTAGGTAGTCTGAGAAAAGATGATCACAAGCTTGAAGCCAGATGAAGCAACTTAGCAAGGCACTATCTCAGAAATTAAAAAAAAAATAATAATGATAACAAAAGGTTAAGGATATAACTTGGTGTGAAGGCCCTGGGTTCAATCTCCAATACCATAAAAACAAAAATTAGAACAGCAACAAAAACTTAAATTTCAGAGAATGCTGCAAAATTATCACTTGGGAGAACAAAAACCACATTGATATACTATATTCCAGATATTAATGAAAATTGAAATTCTAAAGAACTCAAAAGCTCAATACTGCTGTAATCTAACATTTATTGATTATAAATAAATAAACTATAATAGGAAAGTAAAGTGAGTAACTGTAACATTTTGGGGTTGAGATTTAACTCAGCTTGTAAGACCAATGGTTAGTTATAAATATGTTGAATGAAAAGACAGGTGTAGTTTTGGCAGAAGTCACCAATCAAACAGAAAAACATGGTCTTCTATCAAGATATTTTCTACTTTAAGGAAGAGATTTAAAACTCTGAAGCATTTCCTAGACATCTGCCTTAATGTCCTTTTTCAACCAGCCTAAACTATTTAATTTATTCAGTTCACTATATTTCAAGTAAATTTTTGCCCTGTAATTAACTAATGATTGCAGGAGAGCTCCACTTTGAGATCCAGCTGAATTTCTAGGCAACCACTGGAAGCAAGGTCTTGCACAGTGTGCTAAGTTTTAGGTCACAGTGACAGGCTTCGGAAGGAAGGCAGGCTAAAGAAAGAAAATTGTGCCCACGACTGTTTATGATCTTGGTATCTGATGCACGTTTGAAGAGAAGGAATTATTTAAATATAGAACAACGATGACTCCTGGGTTTATTCATATCAAGAACGTATGTGGTAAAATGTTAACATTATTTTGATATTCAATAAGGCAATCATTTGTTTTTTAATAATTTGATCGTGCCTTTAAAAATAAATCTTATTTCACTTTTATGTTCTGTGCAAAATAATTATATTTTAATAGAAATTGGTTTTAAAACAATGTTACAAATTACATACAGCCTGGACAAGCTAACAAAGAAATCATTGACGTCTGCTTTTCTGTGGCAGCGATACTTAGTTTTGAAACCAAAAGTCAAATTTTCAAAAAGGTCACTGCATTCTCCAATTACCAGAGTAAACAAATTCCATCAGGTGGTTCCTTCTACTCCTACCACTTAACAGACCACATGTGTTCAAATGCCTCTCCTCACCACCACTGTACGGAGATAAACATCTCATCAGTCCAAACCCCAGATTCACCATCGGGTACATAAACTGCCTTAGCGGGCAAATGAGGATGAAAGAAAAGACTGTTACTTGGTGACAGAAGGAAAAGATTCCCACTCCTTCTATGGAACAGCAAAGGAGCGCGACACCTTTCACCTCTGAAGAAACAAGCTCAAGGCTTAGGCAGCACACATGCGTTACCAGAAATATCTATTATTTTCTTTTTTACTACTCCTATCAACGTGAGTTCTTTGACGAGTCAGAGCTGCTGACACAGGCGGCATCACCGTGCGGGTTCGCAGCGCGTCCTGGGCGAGCGGTGAGGGAAGGAGTCCCGGCGCGTGGTGACCTAGGCGCGCTCAAGGGCCGGTCCTCGGACTGGAGCGCAGCGGCACGCAGCACGCACACGTAGAGAGGCGTTTTTTGGTTGGATTGTAATCTGTAATTTAGAAAATTCTGACGTACACATACTGTGAAAACAGTCAAAGTTGCCACCCGTTTCAATAAATATTGTGATGCGATTAAATAAACCGGTCCTTCATTTAAATTCTGAGGAACATTTGGTCTTGTCATTATTTACTATTATTTATTGACATAATGATGTTTCCACAACCAAAATATTTTATTACATATACAGCTGAACATATAATTGTATAGTATAGAAAATAAACTTTCTGATATCGTTTTCAAATGTAAAACTAGTGACAAAGATCTTTAGAAAAAAATAATAAAATAGTCCTTCATTTCTAAAATCTCTTCTTAAAAAGCATCAGATCAAAGTTAGGAGCATGAAATGTTATTAATGCATAGATGAGTTAGGCACGAATGAAATGAATCATTCTGGGTATTTTAATAAATCAGAATATTTGAAATTTGACAGGTCATATTTTGTCGTAGTGCGATTGCAAAAGCAATGCGTTGGTACTGTCTCATTATCCGCGGTTCGGACCATTTCACATGTAACACAGTCTACACTCGGGATAGAAGCAATGCACTGCACACTTACCAGGTGGGCGTATGCCGCTCTGTGGACTGCAGGGTTAACGCATCTGAGCTTTTTATTGCTTGAGTAGAAAGTGCTCATTACTTATTATTTAATGCGTATGACACAGAAACTTTTAAAATCAAGAAGCTTTAAAGGGCATACATCACACGGTCGTGGTGGTGGACTTCCTCAGCAGGCTCTTCTGCGGTTGGGGCGCGGGCGCT